GGTTTTCAATAGCTTACTAGGTAAAGTCTGTATATAACGAGGACAATGCCGGAAGAAATCTTCAACTGGAAAACAAGTATAGAGTGCTCGCCAACCACGCATGTGGTCCGGGGTTCGGTACCCCACCACTGACGCACTCCTCTACCTCGCTAAGCCAATGATAAAAAACTGGTAAAGAGGGAAGGTTGAGGTGCATGAGGCTAGCAACCCCGTCCCGTAAAAATAAATACCACTGCTACCGAAACTTCGAAGCTCTAGCTTGAAGTCCTATGTCCCACTGGGAAAGTGAAGGGATAAATTATTATCACAGGTCAGTGTGATAATGACTTGGTTAATCATTGAGTTCTGTAACTCAGATGACAAAGCGCCAGATTCGTAATTCCAAAGATGTTAGTTCAAATGCTAGTGCGTCGATGGTTCACTGGTAGGCTTCTTGCCAGCTATGCAAGTGGTCCAAGTTCAATCCCAGATTGACTAATTCCTAAACTTCATCTGGTTTATTTGTCGATAACAAACCCGGAAAAGACAGAAAGGTGAGCTTGAGGCTAACAACTACACAAAATTAAAACAAACAATATCACTACTGCTAAATTTTCAAAAAGGAGATCGAATTCTTTAGCGACCTAGATCTTCCTATCAACTTCGGTCCTCAAGCATTAACATCAGTAGAAATCTTCTAATCCAAGACTATCTCAGACAGACTCACCATCAAATCAGAATAAGTTAGTCTACATGTAGTTCACTGATATTTGAAGTGGAACACCAAATATGCTTATCAGATGTAACCATTCCACACAGTAGAGGACAGTGTTATCCATTTTGAAAATAATAGGTGTAATCAGATTGTACCAAGTTTTTAGGAAAATAACTTCATTAATACTAACCGTCAGAATCTAGTTAACATTTGATATCCGTTATAATAAGCCTAACTTGGGAAGTAAAGCATACATCTACCTCAACCAACCCACTTCCCTCAGTTCTGCAAGAATTACTACTTGTAACAATGTAATTTTGATGACATAATTAGTGTATTATACCCAGACATCATTATCTTAAGTATAAATTTAAAGGAAGGTGTGTGCTTGCCGTTTCAGCAGAAATCCTTGAAAATAAAAAAGAAACTATCATCCTGATGAAGTTCATTTAAAGCATTATTACTAATTATTATAACTGAGTAATATGCTTTGTCTTATTCAATCATAATTAATGCAAATCATTAGGTATTGTCAGTGCTGAGATGTTGAAATCTCCTGAAGAGCAAATAGATTTCTCCTGACGTAGCGCTGGTAGAAGTATCTAACTGAATTACTTCGGCAGCGTTATTCATCGCCTACGTCTCATACGTTTATCCGGGAGAATTAGTGATTTTTTTCAATTTTAAGGAGATGGTCTGTAAGGATTAGATTTGCTTTTACCAGTTTGACCACAGATTGATATCAGTTAGAGAACCATTGAAAGCCAGCAAGGAGTACTGGACAGCTGTTTCATCCTAGTTTGGATTCCTTGGCAATACGCACCCACCATCGGGGTTCGAACCCAAGACCTTCCGGTTACAAGGGAAGCTCCTATTTTATTCAGCCACTAGGATACGATTCAACGGCCACTCCATGAATTCTAACTTTTACTAATTCATTTTCCATTTAGCATGACTGGCACCAACCAAAGTCATCGGTGGGATATCCATCCTCATACCTGACTGGGTGGATCTCATTGGTCACAACTTCTCACCAGAACTCCTGGAAGCTCTGTCCTGTAGCGAGTCACTAGCGAGCATTAGATTAATTTTCCATAGTTGGTTTGTAAGGATTAGATTTGTTTCTACAAGTTTCACGACGGATCGGAATATTTCACCGGGCAGAATCTCAAAGGCGATTTTAACTATAATGTAGTTAAACTAGAATAAAGTATTACTATCAAGTTAGTCAATATTGTCAGTGTGTACATTGTTACATTTGACTTATTTTGCATGTGGACATTTAATACATGTAATAAACTGAGAATCAATCAGCATTGTTGATACTTTGTAACTTATCTATGAAATCCTATTTGATCTAGAGATAATAATTAGGTGTGGTCTATATATATAGTTAGATAGGTAGGTAGGTTGGTAGGTAGGTATATATACTTGAATATTATTAGCTTTCTTTTATTGATTCATTATTAGATGTTAAGATCCATAGAACGCTGATAAATAATAATTAGCATACACAATTGAATAAGTCATTAGTCTCTACTGTTGATTTAAAGTAAGTATCTCTTTAATAGATTATCTTTTATAGTGATAAATGTTCAAGATTGTAGAACTTTAATCCTTATTTATTAATGATTAAATATCATTTCGATTAAAACAATAAAAGGCGGTAGTGATTTATTTAAATTTTGTGTTCTGTAATTGTGCAACCAACACATTCTGAACAATTTGATATGCAGTTAATATTCGGATAATTGAGAATGTGAAGCGTGTAGATCGGCTTAAGCCCTTAGAACATATGAAAAATGATGTCATATCACATTATATCTCTATTAATTTATTTGTACGTGTGGTCAAACATGCATAGGACAGACTTATCGATCTCCGCAAGTAAGTAGTAATTCAGAGCATAATTCTCAGTGATTTCAGAAGCAAAATGAATCCCCCTGATGAAAACAGAAAACTATTGGGAAATATTTTAAATATGGGGCATAAAGCTGATGTTCCTACGTCTTTACACATGCAGCCTGCTTAAAACTTGGGCTACCCCAAAAACGTCCATCTCTCATTCGGTTTGGTTTAATCGATTAAGATATGACCTCTAGTGGTATTATCTACTCTTACGTGTAGTTAATATGTTTATAAGCTTCTGTTTCTCAAGTTCCTACTAAACTTGAGGAAAGGCCTGATTGTGGGTGGCAACATGTTTCAATACATGAGATAACTGTTCTTTAGTTATGTACTTCAGTCTCAAAGTGTACTTCTGAACATCTTACAATTGGATTTCAACCAGATATCGTGGATTTCTTGAAGGAGACAAAGCAGAAATATCAAAATGGAATGGTTTGTGCTTCAACTCAGAGAGCATTGTGTCACAGGATATACTGTCGATTAATATTTTACTTGAAGATATTGTACGGAGAGAAAATACCATGTAATAAACTCCTCTGAAATCGGGTACATTTATAAATACCGTCCAGAATAAATATATTATTATTATTAACCTATTTATAAAGCGTGGTGAGGATGACGTAACCTAAAGTCTGTAGTAGGCCTGACAGTTGAGAAGTTCCAGCAATTTTTCATTACATGAAACCTTGATAAATTTTGGTTTATTGATCTCCATTGTTAATCTGACCATCAATATAATCTTTTAACTTGGACAGTGTATACTTTCGCACCTCACTAACTCTTTATAATTTGCTTATAAATTCATATTATAAGTAAGTATGTGACGAGATTGTTCGAAAGGTGCTGAGTGGATACATTAAATGATTCAGATAAATTACATGTTATTGTTTCACTGAGACTAAATATCAATTTGTAATGAACACAGTTCAATTTATAACATCAAATATGCCATTTTATTCGATAAAAACTTGATCATTTAGTGGCTGACGATTGTTACATATGAAATCAGTCAGCTAACAATTATTTAAAGGATATTTTTAAGAATGAGTCAGTAGGAAATTTAAAAGAATTTTAAGAAGTAACACCTTGTAGATTAGTAGCCTAGGGGTAAACTCTTTGGTGTTAGGTTCAAATCTCATTGGAAACACCACTCCTCACTTGGATGCAAATAGATGAAGTCCCAAAGAGGATGAAGCATGCTTCCTGGACTCCTTCCCCTGTTAGCAACCATCAAACCAAAAGCAGTTGAAACTACCAATCAGTTTTCAGGTTATACTCATTCTGACTCATACTGACTACATATATAATAAATACTACTAATCACTTCAATGACAGCCAGTTGAAATAATGATTAGAATGTATAACACATCAGCATAAAAAGATAATATAAAAAGGTATATAAAAAGAAATGTATTTCCAGTAATAAAAATATCTTAACAATTTCTAACACTCTGTTAAATGTGATCACTGAAGTTCCTGTTACAGGAGGATATACGTCGGATGAAGTAAATCAGTTTTTCACCTTCACTTTTCTCTCTCTCTTCCTCTCGCTTTCTAAGAAGTAATTCCACTCAATTTTGAAAAACACTTAAACTAAACAGACAAAGTGTGCAAAATTCGATTTACCAGTTTGAGTCACCTCAGATTACTATTATTACTATTATTGTAATAATCCCTTAGGTTCCAGGTGGAGCAAAGGGCTTCAGCAGCACATCTCCATTTCATCCTGTTTTCTACAGTCATCTTTTACTGGCTCCACAATCGTCCGTAAGCTCTCATCTCCTCCTCACACGATCTCCTCCATGATAATTATACCTGTGATTAGTGTTCGTCAATAACAATCATCTAATGGTTTATTACCTAGTGCAAAAATGTAGTTATCCGCCCAATGAAGTATTTTTTTTGATGGATTTTGGGAAGAAGTTTCATTAGGAGTTGTAGGTATTAAGGTTAACTTCCTAATGAGAACAGTCATCAGTATATGGTATTGATGAATGTCTAGATAGGAAGGAATTGAACAGCTCAGTACGCGTTTATTTAATTCAATTTTAGATTTTCCCATAGATGGATTGGACCAAAGTGCTTGGTCACAAGAGGTGGCTCTCGTGACCTAAGTAGTCTAGTGGATAATGCTTTGGCGTTGGAAACTATAGGCACTGGGTTCGAACCTCTTTGGGGACACCATCATTCACTGGGGAATGCAGGTACATTCTGCTGACAAGTTCCAAATAGGGCGAAATGCGCATGCTGGATCCCACTGCTAATCACCATCCACCCACCAACTGACTTCGAGTTCAGTACATCTCTTGACATTTACTGATTGTTTAACACAACAACATGCATATATTTAAATGCAATAAAGATTTATAATTATTTATATACAATGAGCTAAACTTACTTCTAAAGTATTATAGGGTGATTTCCAGAAAAAAACACCTGAGTGTATAATTGATCTATAACTGTAGTGAATTCCAACTGTCTTTGTTTTTCAATATTGTACACTTTGTTGTTAATCAGAGAAATATAATACGTCCCAGTTAGTCTTTATCAAAATTTGACTACAATAATTTTTACAATGCCCTGATTTGTTTTTGGACGGAAGTGCCAAATAATCCACTATACTCTATCTATTGTGTGAATGGGGTGTGTTGCCTGTCTGTTAATCTACAACACTATAGTCAAATTTCAACTTGATTTAGGCAGCGTGTTACCCATTCATCCATCTATGGGTACAATGTATTTTTGTGAGCTAGTTAGTGTATACACGGGTTAGAGGAGTAGACTTTGTGTAAGTGTAAAAATCAGTCTCTTTATGCATTATTCTCATATTGTGTAGGTGTGTAGGCGTAGTACATTTACATTGTTATTTATTTACAATTTAGTTGTTGGCCTTATGGAATTGTGCCTTCATTGTGCTCCTGCCTTAATAGGTATTGGCGACTACACGCTCGCACACACCCATAAAAATTATTATTATTATTTTTTTCTCTACACCCCTACATATCTACTCACCCACTCAAACTCAACCAACATCACCCTTACTCCCGTTGTGTGCTAGCTATTCTCCTGAATCAGGATGCTATCCACCCTTATCGGTATTTGAGAGTAACAAAACACACAGCAACCCAATCATGTGAGTTATAATCCATGGATCGATAGGACCGAGGCAGAATTTAGAAAAAAACCCAAACTTTAGACAACTCAGACAAAATTTTGGAATTTGAATTCTATGGGAGACAGTCTAAGAGTTTATGTATGTTGTATGTTAAAATTTGTGTTCATCCACGTGTATAGTCATAGAAATTTAATTTCCGGAGTGAGGGGTGCCTTTTTGGTAAATGAGTATTCAACCAATGACCTAGTTGTCGTATGGCCGAGGTCAAGTGTATGTAAAAATAGACCATAGCAACTAAATCTACAGGAGATACAAGCACCGACTGGTATCATTTCCTTTTCAACCTGACCACGTCAAATCGATTAGCATACACATCTACACATTTAACTGTGTATATACGGGTTATCTCAGGATTTGTGGGTAAAATGAGGGTTGATAGTGATACAATGACAGACGGAGTTAAGCACACTAACAACAAATGGAATTTGTTTACATATGTCTGTGCATAACAATGTGCCTATCTGAGTGTTTTGGTGTGTACGTGTGTACGTGCGTGTGTGGGAGCGTATGTGTGCACACGTGTTTGTTTGTAATATTGTATTACTGAATCAGTAAACACAGATACAAAGACTCTGTCATTTCATTTCTCTATTATAGAATTGATTGGAAATAGGTTTTTCAAACTTGTTCTCTAATTCTGGTTTGGAATTAAATCGATCAATTAATTAGCCAACAAAATAAAAACTTTTCATATAACACTTATCAAGTTTCCATTTATAAAATATTAGAACCCATTATGAGTTGAAACTGGTTGTTGTTGTTATTGTGTGTATGTGTGTTTTGTATGCATGTGGGTATGCATTTGTATGTGCATCAATATGTTTGTATACACGCGTTCGACAGACAATGATACGATAATATACTTTTATTGATTTTGATAGACTGTAGTGAAGACGATTCATGCACATAAATTAATAAACAGTTATATCTTTATTACTGTTGAGTTATAGCTTACTTAGGAGTGTACATATATTTTGAACCTGAAAAATTGTTTTCATATTCTCCTAGCTTTGATATTTGATAGTGGACGTGTATCTATCATCAGGTGTGATGACACCTTTAGGCTTGAAGAACATCAAATAATTTTCATTCTTATCCTAATCTATAACTCTTCTCTGTTGTTTCAAGTTAGATCAATAACTGAAATCAGTTAGAGAACCACTGAAAACCAGTGAGTACTGGAGAGCTGTTCCGCCCTCCCCCTCTTTGGGACTCCTCATCAGTGCCTACCCATGACCACATTGGGGGGCCAACCCAATACCTCCAATTTATGAAGCAAGACCGATGGCCACTCAGTCACTGGGACGAAATTTAAGGGCTTATGAATTCTAACTTCTTCCCTTCTAGAAAGATAGTGAGAGCTCGGCAACCAAACCATCCAGCTCAGGGAACACGACTACACCGATCTTACCCCACTGAGCTACAAGTCGTTTCCATCAGTGAAGATATATAGTGTTGTGGTGAGCCAATGCGACCAACGAGTATTTGTCCTCGCACCTGACTTCGTGGACCCTGTTGGTCATAACTTTCCATTGGGGCGTCAGGCAATTTCATCTTGTAATCTGTCACTAATGAGCATCAGATTACTTTTCAAGTATTGATCTATAAGGAATGAACCTCGTTTAGGTTTTATTAAGTAGTTCCATTGATCAACTTCTCCCTAGATCTAAAGTTACCAGAAATATGCAACTCTAATACCATCCAGAACAATAGCTAAGATCTTCAAATCTGTGTGAAACTATATGATAATTCACTTCCGGAAAACTGAAAAAATAATAGAGGTAACACGCATAGATTCTCGCAAAGTGTATTGACTTGCTTCGCATTGTCAGGATTAATAAATAACAGTTGTATTACGTCATATGCACATGATCCGGGGTTCGATTCCCGGCCACAGACGCACTCCTTTACCTCGCTAAGCCAGAAATAATGCTAGTGAAGAGGAAAGGTTGGGCATGAGGCTAGCAACCCCATCCTGTAAAAATAAACACTGCTACAGAAACTTCAAGCCACTAGCTTGAAGCCCTATGTTCCACTGGGAACGTGAAGGAAAAAAAATTACGTCACAGTCAATGAAACTGGATTATACACACAACTGAATTCCAACCTTGAAGAGGAAAGTAATTTGAGAATTTGAGTTTTATTCTCACGTGGAATTAAAGTTGATGAGTCTTGATAAGTCTAGATGGAATGGTTTTGTAAATATCATTCTAGCAATCAACTTTTAGCTGTTTGTCATTTTTCTTAGTACAGATGATTACTGTCCAACTTTTATGTCAGATTTTTGCATTGGGATATCAAGAAAGATTGATTTGAGGTATTGGTTTTGTAGGGATTTTTTGTTTGATTGGTTGGGGGGGGTTTATCATGAGCTGACATCAGTTAGAGAACCATTTGAAAACCTGCAGGGACTATTGGACAATCGTTTCGTCGTACTTTGGGACTATCCAGCAGTACGCACCCACCATAAGTGTTCGAACCGAGGACCTGGTTAAAAGGTGACCTCGTAGACCATTAAGTCACTGGGACACGATCCAATGGACAGCCAATGAATTCTAACTTCTGCCAATTCATGACATAGCGCGACCACTTCGCAATGTCTTCTTCGATGAGTTACTGCCTCATCTTCAACCTGCTGCACCCTACTGGTCATGGCTTCCCACTAGAAACCCAGGTCACTGCCTGAATAGGGCCAGTCACTAGTGAGCATCAGGTCAATTTTCAAGTATTGGTTTTGTAAGGAGTTTTTTGTTTGATTGGTTACAGGATTCCATTATGAGATGACATCATTTAAAGAACCATTGGATTTGTATCAAAGATAACATTAGTAGGAATAACATAAACTTGACACATTAAAACATTCACCTTACTCTAATAAACAGTGTTTCAAAAGTTTTGTTACTTAGCATTATTTTCCAGTAATTAAAAAGTATAAGGAAGTATTAGAGACTAATACTCAGGGAGGTGCGTTAGTGGTTCAACGTCAGAATACTCGCCGGCCACAAAAGTGGTCCGGGTTCTACTCTCGACCGACGTACTTCCCAAGCTTCACCTGGCATATTAGTCATTAGTAACCCTGGAAAAGAGGGACACTTGAGAGTAAGGCTAGGAAATCCACTGTCACTGAAACTTCAAAGCTTAGAACTCCATTTTCCAATCAGAAAGCAGGGAATGAAAGAAAAGTACTCATAGAGTTACTTGATTATTAAAAAAGTGTAATAAGCCTACAACTGGTTAGTTAAAAATCTCTTTAACGATATAGCATTAGTCATAAAATCTCTTTTAGCTGATAGATTCTTTAAGAGGCAAGTCTATACCCCTGTCATTATTGATTGTATTATTCCATGGGAAATTTATTTTGAGGCAATCTGTACATCTTTTCAATCTACTCACCTAGTATTTTGAAGTTTCTGAGTTCGTTTCCCTTATGGGGTTTTATGTGAATACCTCCGAAAAGTCTCACTCTAAGACAAAGTAGCTGTTCAATGCTTCTTGGTTTTCAATAATTCTTTAACTGGTTTCGATTTCCAATTATATCTGTCTTCTGACCAATCAAATCCTTATAAAACGAAACTCGGTTATTGCAAATTTAGATACAACGGAGGAGATTTATGGCTCAGGTGGATGATACTGATGTAATTGTATCCTGTGAGCTGGATGACTTATTTGTGAAGCTTTTACTTTGTTTCTAGACAACATCTTCAGGGAATACTTGAGTTCAAAATTACTTCTTAGAATTCTTCCTGAGTTTATCAGCAATTTGTCCTGGTCACCCCAGTATTGAAGTCTAGCCTGAAAATATTGTCCAGATGGGCGATGAAAGCTTTATAAAGTGAGTAACTCTCGGTGGGAACATCATCACTCACTGCGTAATGCAGGTACATCCAGATGACGAGTCCCAGAGAGGACGAAATGCGCGTTATCCTGGATTCCACTGCTAGTCACCAATTAACCTTTAACTCTCAGTTTTTCTATTATGGATGTAATGCTGCTGATAATGTGAATTCAATTGTACTAAGACAACTGTCTGTTCAGTTCCACTTGGAACTCAGAGGACAAATAAGAATAATTACAAAATTTAATTTCTTGATAAAATATTAGATGATATATTTAGAATGATAATTTGTTTGAAGTTAGTTAAAAACAACACCTTACAAGATAGCGATCACATGTAACTTTATAGCTTTTCCAACATTTAAAGTAGTGACAAACAAAATTAGTATTAATAATAATAATAATAACTCACTAGCCACCTACGTGCTTACGTAATAGGTTATGAATCATACCTGTCTCGTGATAGTCAGTCATACTATTTGAGTTTTAAAATCTTCGTAATCCACATGTTTCTCTTGAAGTTAATAAATACTCTAAATGAACTGAATGCAGTATTATTTACTGGATGACGTTTCGAACACAATTTATTGTGTTCATAATCATAGCATCAATTATAATCACATGACTTCGAAACTTGCACAGGATAATGACAACATTAGCAATAGATAATTTAAATCACCGTCAGTAGTACTTCTATACAAAGAAGGTACCTCGGAAATCTTACGGAGAATTCTTAACAATGCAGGAATAAAAGTGGCTGGTATTCAAATCCACAAACTCAATTAGAGACAAGTTTTGTCGGCTAGAGGACCCATATTGTGGAGCCAATTAAACAAAACAGTTTAGTTTATCTAATCCCCTGCTGGAATGATCGTCAGGTCAAATGGATAAGGTGAAGTAGTAGAACGGGGTCAGTCAGTCAGACTAGCGGAGCAAAAAATCCTAGCAGCAAAATCTAGATTAGTTGACCCGGAATAAGATACGAAATCTGGAAAATAGTTCAGCCACAGCATTACACCGCATGCAATTGTGCACAACCATACAATAGGATGATGGGGTGGAGGGAGAGATTGATAACTGAAGCTTTATTTATCGAACCAACTGGAAATACGTGTAATAGGAATGATTCAGCACCTGTCCAGTTGGACATCTAGAAAATTCTACTACCCCTAAGAGAAATAGGGAAGAATAAATAAAACTATAAAACGAAAGTTTCAAAGTTGTGTGGTTATAATTGAAGATATGACTATGAATAGTAAATTGTGTTCGAAACCTTGTCATCCAGTAACTAATAATATTGTTTCACTGTGTGATACATCTAACAAACAAACTAATATGGAATTATATATTACTACAATGCCCAAGTTTTACACATATATGAATTAAATGCATTTGAACGATAATTGTGAATAATTTTCGTATCATTCTGATAAAATTTATCAACAGTTACTTTCAAGTTTGATCAGAGATTGATGGCAGTAAGAGAACTATTTATAAGCCACTACATTCTAGCCCAACTGGTTGAAATGTCGGCAAGT